GAGCTCCCTCTGAGGAGCTAAGTAAGATTCAAAGGAAAAGCATCAGTGGAAGAAGTGAAATTATTGCCTCTTATCGAAAAAGATTTTGTTTAATATCAAATAAAAAAATAAGTACTCAGTCAGTCCATTATTTCTTTTGGAAATACTTCTTTCCACAGAGAAGTGCAAGCCAACATCCGTAAGGTCATGAAAATCTCCACACCAACATGAAATATTTTTAGTGACGGATAGAGCAATCTCCTGTGGAGTCGCATGACGAGGAACGGAATATTTAAACGCTCTTTCTATGTCATCCTTCAGAAGGAGATRGTTTAATGGCTTAAAGCAAATGATGAAAGCAGTGAGAGGAAGCCCTGTACTAAAAGAGGTGCCTCAGACCAAAAGGCTCCTCTACTCTCTCTATYTGTACACAGGGTATTTCACTGCGACTCCCCGACTTCTGCTTAGGCAACACAAAACTAGGATGAACTGCGGAGTGTCTGCAGAAGTTCTTTTATTTTTAACCAGTACTGTCTTGTCAGTATAAATTCACCAAGACAGTGAATCCTTTATTAAGAATATAACTTACTTTGGTTTCTTTTCACTATGCTGAAGCTATGTCTTTCTCAACCCACGTCAAAGGCAATTAAGAGAGTGGAGCTTCTGAGAGCAAGTTTCAAGCATCATTTCCTTCGGCCTGCCTACACAAAGTTTCCTTATGAAGATTTGGGAGAACTTAGGTGGCAAGTAGCAAAGCCAAATGACATGAAAAGCATTATTCAGCTCCACACATTACCACTACAAAATYAACTTCACAAACTCTTTACACATTTTCATAAAGGCAAAGAACTTATAAAACATTAAGACATACTATGGAACAAGATAAAACATTGGAATGTTTCCAAAAAACGAAGCACTCTCATGCTGTTTCCATTACCTAAAAGGCTGGATTTGTTTTCCTGTTCTACCTGAAATGCACTATGGTGTTATATCATTTTACCAAGCAGCACAGGACTGAAGACCAGTGAGAAGGGAAAGAAGTTAATGTTTTACTCAAGCGTATGATACCTTGCTTGGGCATTTCTCCACAGCTCTGTGTGTTCACTTGGAAAAAAACATCCAGAGGCAGAGAGTGTCTGACTCAGGCCACATTTTGCCTTTGACTGAAGTTTTACTTCTAAAAAGATTACTTTTAAATTCTAGGGCATTTATATTTAAACTGAAACCACTGAAAGAGTATTTCCTGCCCTCCCCACCTCACATGCACCTCCAATRTAACTTCAGGACTGCTTCTATCTCCACACTATTTCCTCTCACTTGACTTCCCTCAATATAGCTCAGATGGTACTAACACACTGGATTACACCAATCCAGCAGATATGACCAAAAGTTGGATTTCTATGTCACAAGAKCTGAGATTTCTCTACCAATATCCACTGAGATAAGCAGAGAAGCAAAGGAAAAAAAAAAAAATCACATTCTCCGTTCTCCCATCTTCTCCTCCCTTTGTAGGCAGCAGGACACAGACAGAAGCCACTCAAACAACAGGGGCCAAGGCAGCAATTGCTGTAGCCTGCYCTGACAGCACTTCCAACACCACCACAGCATCACCAACCAGCTCTTCCTGTATTCCTGCAGACGGACRATGTCCATATTTCCTTTCACCTATTTTTCCCAATACAGCTGTTTCTTATGGGGCAATTTTCGATCCTCAAACTCCATCTCTTTTTCCCTGCAGTATCTTCACCTCACTCTTCTTCCTACCCTAAGTCCTCACCAACTATTCTATCCACAATTTTGCTTCCTTTCCTTTGCCTTTCGCAAAGTCCTTGTCCTACATTTTCCCGTGTTGCCTTCTCATCTGCCCGCCCAGGTGTGCAAGGATAAGCAGCAGGAGGCARGCAATATGGACATGTGGCAACCAGATATTACATGTTTATTCAGTTAGAACTCTTACTTTATTAAAGTAATTGATGCTACACTTTGGCACCTGGACGGCATCGTTAAAYAAGTAAAGTCACACCAAGGATGAGCTTCAAAAAGTTTGGAAGGGAAGAGGAAAAGCGAACCAGGAAGCCAGGTTAGGAGGCGAAGCCAAGGTCTCAATCAATTGCAGCTCTGCTAGGGCAGTGTGGCTCCTGAATTTGGAAACCCTGACGCTCTGTGCTTTGAAGAAAAGCTCTGCAGTGATCTCTGCCCCCGTCGGCGACCACTGCTGCAGTTTCTAATCAGCAACAAATCCATATTAGTACGGTTATAAAATAGCCACTCTTTCAGCTATCTAGGCAGAGCACCGCCTCATGCTGCACACCGCAACATTTCCATGCTTTATTTTCCCTGGGGAAAAGCTGGAATCAGCAGTTCCTGCCTCTGGCCGCCCTGTATGAGCTCCCCTTGCCCGGCCCTCCCGCCGCGCCGTGTCCGGGCAGCGCTGCACAGGGAACCCCACGGGTTAAGCTAAGCATACCCCGTTCATCCTCCCCCCGCTCCCGGGCCCGCGGGGTTATTTTTAAAGTGGATCAGGTCTCTGCCCTGGTTCACCAAGGAGCTGGGCGCAGCTGCCAAGCAGGAGGGGAGCAGAGGGCAAGGAGGAGGAAAAGGCATCCCTGGCAGCCCGGAGGAGCCGGCTGGAGCCCGCCTGGCCGCCGCGGCAGGACAGATCCGGGACACCGGAGCGAGCGGAGCCCCATCCCAGGCGGAGGCGGCGCCTGCCGGGCCCCAGCAGGAGCACGTGCTGCTCCGGCACCGGGAAGGGCCGGCTGCACCACCTTGGCGCCCAGGACAGCRGTAACTCAGGGCCTTTCTGCCCAGGGCAGGGCTGGGCGAGCGGCTCCCGCGGCCCCGTCTGGGTCAGCAGCTCGGCGCTGCTCTGCGCCCGCCTGCCCCACGGCAGGCACCAAGGCCCAGCGCAGAGCGGCCCTGTCGGGCACACGTGCCAAAAGGCAACCGCTGAGACCACCTAAATAGTGGAGGTGGGTTTAATATTTAAGTTGCCAGGAATCGCTTTCAATGAGAACTATTTTTACCCAAATACAGCAACAAAAAATAAGGCCACTTTTTTTTTTTTTTTTTTTTTTAATAAAGAAAAAAAAGCTTTTGCTTTTTTTAAAGAGGTTAATTGTTATAATTCTCTGGATTAATTACATTTAAAAAGTGCATTAAAAAACAAACAAAATCCTGAAACACCTAAACTGCAACGTATTTTTGTTGCAAATAGAAGGAAAATCATAATAGTAAGATAGCCTTCCTAAAGCCTCCGTTCTGGCTGCGTGTTTATGAAGCCTCCGGAAATACCACGGCAAACATTCCAGCTCTACAGCAGCGCGGCCACGTGACCCGACGGCACAGCAAGGAGCTGCTGTTCCCCAAGTTGCTAGATGGAATAGCAAAAGGACTTTTTTTTCTTTTTAAACCACAATCTAAATCCAGGGAAACCGTCGACAAACATTCAAGCACCCAATTTTAAAACTGCTAATAAAAAAAAAAAAAAAAAACCAGCACTTCAGTTGCATTTCTATGACTGCACATGCAGCTTTTGTAAGAAAATACATATATATATATATATTACATGTATAGTCAGGGAGCATAACACGTCATATATTTTTAAGGCACCACAAAAAAACATGTTATCATTTCTCTAAAGCTACTACCACAGTTATGATCAGTATTACTCTTTCTCAATTTAGCTTTTTTCCCAGTTTTTTAAAAAAAAGGCACAATTAAAGCCACCTAAGCGCCCAGTCTGGTTTTAGCTAGAGATACTAATGAAAGAATTTACAAGTTTTATGAGCTTTACTGTTACCACAAAAATTACTTAAAATGTAATCTTGAACAAAAGCATTCCCTTTTTATAAATAATCACRTACAAGTATTTGCAAGTAATCATTTACAGTGTAGGAGTAGGGGTGAATCATACTGCAATAGTCGGGCATCCACTGAAATCTGTGTTTTGGCTTAAAACAAAGCAAAGGAAAGCAACACCCCAGAAGCAGGAAAGCAGCTCGGAGTACAAAAGCACAGCAAATGCAGGCGTCCTCCTTAGCAGCCATGTCAGAAAGGCTTCTAATTATCAGAGGTAAAAGAGGGATGGCATTTSTGCTGGAAGCAAGTTTTACACTTTATATTCTTTCCTCTCCCTGCTTCTCCAGCCTATATATATTAGTCTTATGCATTCTTCTCCCATACAGCTCTCGAAAGGTTGAGTTTTTCAAGGCTGATAGCAGACAGAAATGCTCATCAAGAAATGCCTKTGGGTCAACTGTCTGTGGTCATCACAGTGTAGCACTGAAAATAGGGAGGAGGGGGAGGAGGGTTATGAGCACTGTATAACAGACGAAAAATAATAAAAAAATGCACAGAGAAACTGCCCCTACCCCGAGCCTGTATGAYCTAATGGTTACTAACATTATGTTTTGGAAATGGGCTGTTACCATCCACCCATCCTCAATAGTGATGGTCATGAAGATACGGACATCCCTTTCAGCTGCTATGCTGCATTCAGAACATCTGTAAATACATTAAAGTCCCTTTAACGGTATTTTTTTATTGATATTTACAACAAATTTTGAGGGAAAAAGGAGGAGAGGAAGAAGGTAATCTTGGGGTGCCCATATCTGTTTTTTCATTCTGTACAACTGGCCATGAGATATTAAACACATTATTGAAACCACCGTGCATTCGCACACAGGGATTGCTAGTTTGTAATAAATGCACATTTATGGGAAGCTAGTAGCACATATTATTGCTCTGCTTTATCACTTGAATAGCCCAGAGTAATTTGTTTGTGTTGTACATTGGGATCAATAGTCACACCAGGGCTAGCCCGGGGAAGGTCTGTGCTGAGGGCTGTGCCTGCAGTGCTTCCTTGCCCCAATCAATTGACCAAACAGCAAACAGACACGCTCTGACAGGGACCAGAGCAGCTGTTAAAGCCTAAAACATGAGGCACTGTTTGGAAAAGACTGAGTATTTTGGCACCCGATGAAGCATTAAAAAAAAAAAAAAAAAAAAAATCTTCCTACCTGAATATTCCACCCAGGCCTTTCTTCCTGTCAGTAGCTGGTGGCTGTTTCCTCAATGCCCTCACATAACAAGATCCATTTTCCTGCAATAAAAACACGGACAGGTCACACCCCCATTCCCAGAGTAAGTCAGTACCGCTCAAACAAGGTTGCTGAGCAGGTCTTGGATAAAGTGCCTGTAAAAGTCCCAGGAACGAATCTGGGGCACCAGGTTGGAGACCGCGTCCTGGCTTCCAGGCTAGTTTCCATGCCCAAATTTTTGAGAATCGCTCAAAGGGTAAGTATTTTTTTCAGTCAAAAGCCATGCTGAAGCCTCTCTCCTTCTCCATAAAGGGGCTACTTGCCGGCTGCTATGAGCTAAGCGTCATAAACAAATAAACAACCCCCAACCTCTGCTGAAACGGCRAAGCCAAAATACCACAGAAACACCACGCTGCCCATAGCAAAACAGAGCATGTTTACGGATTACGCTGGCAAAGCACTGTGACTTCTAGGAAATGCTCTTTAATTATAAAGAAATACTGTAAAAGGAGACAGAGGAACGCTTATGGGCAGCCTGCATTCCGTGCAGGGCTGGTTCAGCACTCAGACAAGGTGTCCTTCCAGGCTTGGGCTGTCAAGCTAGGAAATGCAGCAAATACTGAAAAAAAAGATGAGTATCTACATCTTAATACATTTTATCTTCTCTTTTAACTCATTTTCAAACAACTTTGATATAAAAGGCTTTTCTTTCTTGTCAAAAACAAACATGAAAATCCAAGCCTTTTGAAAGGAAATATGACGCACGCAATTTATGAGATCAATCCAGAAGCCCCCTTACTTCACACAATGAAAAATGCAGAATAAAGTAAAAACTCAAGTAGCTGTAAGTAACTAGCATTTTTTTTTCCCTCCCATTACATCCATTGTCCACCGATAATTCACAAAGAACCAAACCATTTCGGAAAAACCTATCTGTGAAGCACACCCGTCCCATCASGGACAGTGCCACCAAGGAGCAATCYGCTTCAGACMGGAGCTCTGCAGCTCCTCCYGCCCCACAGGACGCGGCAATTTTGGGCAAGTTACACATTGCCCGGCACCCTGGGTGAATGATTGACTTTTAAGGGCTCATCGCAGGGCCCGGCACTCGAGCATGGCCAGGGCCGGGTGCACGGACAGGAGAGCTGGAATCCGGCGGCTCCGGGCGCTTCCTGCGCTCGCAGATCCAGCAGAGGGAGCACAAAAACACAGGTTATTTTTTCCCGGCCAAATGTTTAGGCGATGAAGCACTCGCATGTTTGGCATCGCGGGCTCSGAGCGCCAGATTGTTCGCGGAGGCGAGCGCGAGGGCAGCGCGGCCACCAGGCCCGGCCGCGCTCGGCGCGACGCGGCCCCGGGCTCTGAAGCGCACGAAAATCTCCGTGGCTTTTTTCTCTCTTTCTTGCTCCGCGCCGGATCCCTGCCCGGAACCGGCTGCAGCCAGCGCCGGGCGGCTCCTGCAGGTCCCGCCATGGGCTTGCCCAGGAGAGGCAGGAGCGAGGCCTGGTCCCGCGGGACACGGTGCTGCTAAGGGAAGCCCTAGGGACCCATGGGAACACAGAAATACTGTGGAACGCCCGCCAGGCATCCCTGCCACCCTCCCACGGAAACACGCAGGGCCGGGGCTCCTCGCGCACCCGCAGCTGCCCGGCTCCGCGCCGCGCAAGGGCCAGATTCCCGCAAAACCGCAGGGGCCTTCGCGGCTTTCATGCCAATTTAAAAGGTTGCACRCGAGCCGGGGGCTGGATCAGGGCGCACTGGCATATGGGGAGGAGGGGCAAGCAGGAACGGGGAGACGGACAGGGACGACGGGCCTCCTTGCGAGGCAGCGGCTGAGGGCTGAAAAAATAAACATCTGCTGCGTCCGCTGCGGGAGCTCGAGCGGAGACTCCTGCTCCCGCTCGGCTGCTTCTCCCCGCGGAGCCCCCTCGGGCGCAGCCAAGGCAGGCCGGAGCAGGACAGCCACGGCACGTGCGATGGCCCTCGTGTCACAGAGGAGCACCTTCGCAGCGGCCGCCTCCTCGCGCGCAGCAGGGCAGCGCGTTACCCTGCGCGCGGCAGGGCCGAGCTGCCAGCTCGCAAGCACCAGCGACGCGGCCCCGTTAACCTTGGCTGAAACTGAGCCATTGTTCGAGAGGGTGGACATCCCTTATAAAATCCCATTATTAGAGGCCACTTGCCATCTATTTCCATAGCAACTTTCTTGGTTTATTTTGCTTCTATTTTAAAAGAATTTCCCCCTTCCCTTTCCCTTATATCCTATTGTGCTTGCACGGCCTTAAACAATAAGGCACTCGAGCAGGGCGAGGGAAGCGGCCTGGAGGAACAAAGGCTGCTCTGGCCCAGCCGGTGCCTCCGGCCCTCGCTCCGCGCGGCTCCCGCATCCCCGGTGGGCTCGGGGGCACCCACGGCTGCCGGCTCCTCGCGCTCCTGCGCCGTGCTGGCTGCAGGACAACCTGTGGGCAGGAGGCGCCTGTTAAAGCCGAGTTCTGCGGCTCATCCCGCTCAAGGAAGCGGCGTGGGAAGGCTGACCTGGGAGGAGAGCAGCGTTCGCGGACACAACAGAGGCAGCCGGACCCACAGGAGGAGGCGTGTGGAAGGATGGAGCCCCGGCTCTGCTAGACCAGAGCAGTGCCACACGCGGCAGGCAGCAGCCACCCGAGRAGAGGGCCATCCACTTAATTCTCCAACAAGACTAACTCAACAGCGAGACAGGATTAGACATGCTCGGTTTTAACCATTCGTTTCTCTCTCTCCCTCTCTCATGAAATACTATCAGCATACCCTTGGCATCAAAATGACTACCCTCCAGAATACGCAGGGTGCATTTTTCATTTTATATGCAGGAGTTGTATCATCTGAGGTTATTTATTTTCTCATTTGAAGTGGTAAAACATATTTAATCTGTTTTGAGAAAAGAACAAATTGATTTAGCGAGCAGTTCGAGGCTTTCCCTGGAGACCAGCAACCACACTCGGCAATCTGGATATAAGATTCTCAACCAAAGTCTACGCTAAAGTCATTTTAATTGTAGGTCATAAGAAATGTCAAGATATGAAACACTAGGGAACACTAAAAATTAAGCCATCATCTTTGAGRCTAGCCTATCTCTCAGATTTCTCATTAAAAGATAGTTCAAAATCTTCATGGAATTACTACCCGAGCACAGTAGCCAAGTAAACTGTTTGGGGCTGCTTGCAATGCAGRCACATGATTTCTGCTGGTGTGGAGAAGAAAAGGAAAATTGTGGTAAGTGAAAACACTGAGGTCAAAGAACATGAACTAAACAGCATACTTGGGGTAGGGAAGGGTCTTTTCCACTTTGTTTCATTAAAGTATCTTTTGTTGATACACAAAAACAGCTTTGTTTCACCTTGGGCAGAAAATGATACAATTCCGCGTGAAAGAAACAAGGTCTGTGCATAGGATGACAGAGACATGAACTAGAAGAGCATAAAAGTGAGGAAATAGGATTTTTGAAGAACACCTGGAAACAAAAAATACACCTAAATACTTCCASAATTTATGCCCAGAGAGTTCAATAAGAAAAATTTGTAGTTAGAATAACACTTTTTTTTTTTTCACATGTGAAAAGTCCATTATTTATGCAATTTACTTTTGAGCTGCAACCCTCATTTATGAGAACCCTTTCATAGGCTGACTTTCTACTTTCTATGAAAAGAAAGTCTTTCTCTGGAAGATGAACCTTCCTCCTGCTTGCTTTCCTCAGCTGGGGATGACGACCCTGGTCCCGCAACCATCAGCGGCAAGCTGAGCCCGGCCGTCTTGTTCAACTCCATAAAACAAAGTTAGAAAAAAGGTGCGCTCATTTTCAC